AAAAATCAAAGTATAATATAAATTTTTATATATATTAGCTATATAAATTAATATTATGAATATAATATTAATATATTACTTATTTACTTCTTAATTAAAAAATAAATGAATAAATTTTTTATTTTAAAATGAAATTGTTTTTCAAAATACTTTTTAAATATTAATATTTATTATAAAATTAAGAAGTTTTATATTTTTAAAAAAAAAAAAAATTGAAAATATATAATCAAAACAAAAACAAAAATAATAATAATAATAAAAAATGTCAGAACATATTCGCCCTTCAACATCTTTTTAAAATAAACGTCATTATATTTAAGGTTAATAAGCTGAAAATTCTGAATCAGATATAAATAAAAAATCACTATTGTATTCATAACTTAATGATATCAATAATAATAATAATGAAATGCATTCTGTTTTTAGTAATACTACTTAAAATTTTAAGTAACTTATAATTAAACAAAATAAAAATATTTATAACAAAAAAATATAAGAAAAGTAAGTATGAATTATAATAAAAATACTTAGTAAGAACTCGGATTTGCATGCAATTCTTAATCATAATTATAAAAAAGCGAAAAAATGCCTAGTATCTAATTAAAGTAAATTTATATATAAAAAATACATTATTTTATCTAAAAAAAACAAAAGAAAATAAATGATTGAATTTTAAGCAAAAGATTATTCGAAAACTATTCCCAAATAAATTGTTTTTGATAAAGAAAGATTATATGAAGATTTAATTATAACAAAAAATATGGTTAATAGATTAAAAAATGAAAATTATAAACTAAAAGCTACTAATTGGGGATTATAGGTTTTTATTTAGTTTTTTTGATTTTTTTATATATATTTAAATTATATTAAAATATATATTATTAATTTTAATAAATATATATAGGAAGAAATTAAGAAAGTAAGAAAATAATAATAATATATATAAGATAATACTCTTTAAAAATAAAATAAAAATACATCATAAATATAAGCCTAAACAGAAGTAAAATATATATTAATTTAATAAAAAAAATATAAAAAGAGTTGTATAATCCCGAATTTAAAAAAATAAGTACAAGAATTAAATGTTGAATTAAATACAAAAGAAAAATAAATGAATTAATTCAAAAGAAATGTTAAGTTAACCAAAATATCAGAATTGGAAGTAAATAAAAATAAATATTTTATTTAATATATAGATTATAAATAAAAAAAAAATAGGTTGAACTAAAATCTTATATGGATGAAACTATAAGATTAAAAAGAATGCTTTAATAATCTTTAAATCTTAAAAAAGAAGAGTATAAAAAGCATATATATTAGTTATTTTATATTATATTGAATTTTTTTTTTTTTTTAACAAAAAAATAGAAATGAAAATAATATATCGATTGAAGAGAAATACTTAAGTTAATTAAATTAGTTTGTAAATGTGAAAAGTTAGAATAAATAAATATAAGAATTAAATAATTAAATTTAAGATTAATTAGAAACAAAAGATGTAATCTAGAAAAATATAAAATACAAAAACTACATTTTAAATTAAAATAATTATTATTTATATAGAAATAATTAAAAGAAATGGAAAGATAACTTTAAAGATTAGTAAAGGAAAAAACAACATATAAAAAATTATTAAATGATAAAGTAATAAAAAAATAAAACTATAATATTTGAATTAAAAATAAATTATATTTATATATAAAGGATAAAGAATTAGATTAATACAAAGACATATAATAACATAATTAAAAAAAATATATAAATTTAAGCGAAAATCAATTAAAAATAGAATTTGAGAAAAAAATTACAGAATGTAATAATTAAAAAACAATAGTTCAGTTAAAAGAAAAAAAGATTAATGAACTAGAATAAAAAATAAAAGAAAATTTTTAAGAATTTCAAGAAAAAATAAATTTATAAATTAAAGAAAAAGATTTCTATAAAATTAAATATGAAAAATTATAATATTTATATGACGATTTAAAAGAAAAATACGATCAATATTATTAAAATAGTAAGAAGTTGAATTAAAAAAAAAATCATGAAAAAGGAAACAATGTATATACAAATTCACATATAAATAAATATAAATATATATATATAAATATATATATATACATATATATTTATTTGTATATAAATTTATAGATTTATAGATTTATAAATTTATAGATTTATACATTTATATATTTATTTTTATATAAATACATATATTTTTATTTTATATATATATTTACTTTCTTATATTATTATAAAAAGAGTATTATAGCTAATGATACTTCTGAAATACCATTTAATAGACATGATTAATAAATTATTAATATGATAGGTTCACCTAGATAAGGATTATTATTTTAACATAAAAAATCAAATATTGTATTAACAGAATTTTAATAAATAAGTAAGGAGTTAAAATATAAACTAAGATATAAAAAAATAAGCTATAATTAATTAGAAAATGTAATATTTAATTTCTTATATAAAAATAAAATATAAAAAGTATTTATATAACAAAGAAAAATAATAAATATAAACAGCTACTTATGATGAAATGAAATAAATATTAATGAAGTAATAAAGATTAAATTAAAATTATAATATTTATATAATTATAAATTTTTATATACATATAAATTAATATATAAATATATTTTTATATATTTTAAAGTATATATTTGTATTTAAATATACATATATATATCTGTCTATATTTATATATATATTTTTTTTTAATAATAAAAGTGAACCTTTTTGTATAACAAATGACGAAGATTTAAAACGAATATGTCTTTATTTAATTGATGATGGTATTAATTGTAAAGAAGATAATTTTTTTAGGAGCCCTAATAATTATCATAACAAAATTTCCACAATAAAGAATTTATTAAGAAGAATAATTGGATAATATGAAATATATTCTTTTTAATAAAATCCATTATTACATAGTGAAATTGTTTAAGTTTTTTTTTTTTATTTATAATATATATTTATTTACATAAATTAATATTTTTTAAAGTATTTTAAAGATAATTAAGATATAATTATTTAAAATTTAGAAATTTATAATTTAAAAAATATTCCTAAATATAATTTTGAATAAATTATAAATAATCTTGATAATCATTTAGATTCTAATTAAATTGAATATATTTATTAAGTTTCATATTAAATTAATCAAAATGTTAACTTTTTAAATTTAGAATACGTTCTTTAAGAATTTAGTAATGGACTTAGGAAAAATGTGGATGAAAGTAGTGAAAATAAAGTCAATTAAAATTAAGTTATGTAGGTTATACATGAAGAAACAGACTATGAAAGTCCTTATAAAGAAAATTCTATAAAAAAAGAAAGTAATAACGAAAAAAATGAAAGTGTTAAAAAATGTAATATATAATAATAAGAAATGAAAGAAAAATAATAATAAATAGATAAAGAAAATAATCAATAAAAACTAGAAGTCTCTAATTAAGAAAAAAAAGATGAAATAATTAAATTAAAAATAGATGATAATTAATAGAAAAAAATTGAAATTCAATAAGTAAAAACGCAAATTTAAAAGGAAAATTTTAATAATAATTTAAATTAAAGTTTTAATAGTAAATAAAATTAAAATTAAAATGAAAAAAATGAAGTAAAAGAAGAAAAAAAATCTAATGATTAATTATAATAAAACCATCAAAAAGTTAAAGAAAATATCCAATAACAAATTAATATTTAATAAGCAAAATAAGAACAACAATAATATCAAAATATATAAGAAAAACATAAAAATGTAGAAGAAAATAAAAATGAAAAACAAGAAAAAAAAAATTAATAATAAATAGAACTAAAAAATCTAAAGGTTCAATATAAAATATAAGATTAAAATGAAAAAAAAGAAAGTTAAGAAAAAAAAGAAGTCTAAGAAAAAAAAGAAGTTTAAGAAAAAAAAGAAATCTAAGAAAAAAAAGAAATCTAAGAAAAAAAAGAAGTTTAAGAAAAAAAAGAAAGTTAAGAAAAAAAAGAAGTTTAAGAAAAAAATGAAATTCAGGCCAAAAATGAAATTCAGGCCAAAAAAGAAATTTAGGAAAAAAAAGAAATTCAGGCCAAAAAAGAAATCTAAGAAAAAAAAGAAATCTAAGAAAAAAAAGAAATCTAAGAAAAAAAAGAAGTTTAAGAAAAAAAAGAAGTTTAAGAAATAAAAAAATCAGAAGATTTTAATCAATTTAGATAAGAAAAAAAAGAATCTTTTATTTAAAATCGACATGAGTTAATAGAAATATTAAATGAAATAGATTCTAAATAATAATAAGAAACTAATCAAAAAGAAATCAGAGAAGACTAATAAAAAAAATAATAAGAAAATTCATAATAAATTTAACCAATAAATAATATAAAATAAGAAGAAAACTTACTATATAATTAATAACAAGAAAAAGATAAATCAAACAAAACTGAGAATCTTTAATAAGATTAAAAAAACAAAAAAGATGAAGATTTAAATAAAAGTCATAATTAAAATTTAAATAAAAATTAAAAAGTTGATGAAGAAGTTGATTTAAATAAAAGTTATGATGAAGAAGAAGATAAATATTTGAATAACAAAAATTGTTATGAAGATGATTTATTTGAAGATGAGTAATTAAAGGATAATAATAATGAAATTTTAAATTAATAAGAAATGAAAGAATATGATGAAATATCTCTTTGAAAATATATTTAAATATAAAATAACTTTAACTTAATAAATTTTATAGTTTTTTTTAAAACAAAAACAAATGATTTATACATAAAAATCATTTTTAAAATATATATAAATATAAGCGATTATTAAATTTTTTATTTTTAATTCTTTTTATATAATAAATATATATATAAAAATTAATTATTTTTTAAAAATAAATATTTTAAAATAAGAATATATAATTTTTGATATTTCATGTTTCTTTTTATATTAATTTTTATTAGTATTTTATCAGTAATATCACATATCTAATATAATATATTAGTAAATTATTTCAAAAATAACAATTAATTCTTATATTCTAAAAAAAAAAAATATAATAAAAATAAATGTCTTAAAATGACCTTAATCTTACCGAAGAATTTGCTGTTAAGACAAAAGACTAAATAAAATTCCATTTACCAAACCCAACAGAATTAATGGAATGTACTTAAATAAGTGAAAACGTGATTAAAATTGAACAAAAACCAATCGATAATATACCTTCTTGCAATATACTAATTCTAAACATGAATTTCCTAAAAGAATACAAAGTAAACGAATTATGTGATTAACTAAAAAAATACTTCAAAGAATCATAAAATGATATTACGAAAAAACACATAAATAAAGCCTGGTGTAAGAATGTAAAAATAAGATTTGAAGAAAGAGCTGAAGATGGAGAGCTTTTAAATAAACATAGAGTATCTAAGGAACTACTAAAAATAAAGCTCTAAGGAAAATAATTAAATGAAAAATGGCTAAAAATTCTCTATTCAATGAAAGAAAAAGAAATTTGCTGGTTTTGGGTTGGAAGAAGATACCATGCATACGATTTATAAGACTTTATTTGGATAAAAGTAGAAGTTTTAGAATGCATTTTATTAAAAAGTAATGAAAATACATTTATTTAAGTTTAGTAGGTATGTGAAGATATAAATACTTAAGGTAAGGAGTTATATGGATAAAAGTAATTCTAATAAGCTGAGACTTATTTTAAAAATGCTTTTTAAAGGATGGTTTGCTTAAAAAAAAGTGAACAAGGAATAATACAAGAAGAACTTTTACAGAAATATGCCGGGAATCTGGCTTTGTGTTTATTTCATCAAAAAAAATTCGAAGATTGTAAAAGTTTCCTGTCTTAAAAAAGAATCCTTTAAAATATTTAATTAAAAAATTTGGTGAGATTAATTGAGTCTTTTCTTTAATTAAATGATTTTGAAAATGCTAAAAAAATTATTTTGGATTATTAAAATAAAATAAAATAGTTAGATTATTAATCTTTATTGGATAAATGCTTTATTTTGGAAAAAAAAGAATAGGAATTCTAAAAAAAATCTTTTTATTAAAAAATATTCTCTTAAAAAAATAATAATGGATATTGAACTAATTTTATTATTATAATATTTATATTTTTAGATTATATTAATAACTTAATATTATTATATTATATTAATTATTTACTTTTTATATTTATATATATATTTATTTTAGTTTATTTTATGTTTTAATTAAACAAAAAAATCAAATTAATATAAATTAAGAGTATAAAATAAATAAATAACAAAAAAAAATGAAAGTTACTCTATCAATAGAAGAAGCATTATAAAAAGTAGGAAACAGTGGTAGATACCAAAAAATATTTATGATAATATTTTTCATGCAATGGTTTATCTCAATATTTATATTCCTTGGTCCTACTTTTTATTTTCCTGATCCAGAATTTATATGTTCAAACAATCAAATCTGTACCGAAAATACAGGAGGTTGCATTGATTAAATAATAAAATATTCTGAATATAAAACAATAACATTGGATTTTAAATTATACTGTGATAACAGTCATTTACGAAACATGGCCTAATCAGCCATTTTTTGGGGTCCTATAATTGGAAATATTCTTTTTTCCTTCATTGCAGACTGGAAAGGCCGTAAATTTGCACTTTTAATAGCCTGGTTGATATCTTCAATAGGCATATTAGGCATATCATTTTCTTATAACATTTTTTAATTGATAATAATGTTTTTTTTAGCCGGATTTGGTTTAGTTCCTTGTAATAATTTAAACTTAGTAATCGTAAATGAATAAAGTGGGAAGTCTTTTAGGGAAAAAGCTTCCACTTTTTTACTTATGAGTTGGGCTATTTTTGAGCTTTGTCTAGTCGGAGTTTGCTTTTCAATAAAAAACTGGCGTAATATATTTTATTTTGTTCTTTCTATACCTTCTGTATTAATTTTTTTCTTCAATTTTTACCTCGTAGAAAGTCCTAGATTTCTTCTTACAAAAAAAAATAAAAAGTCTTCAAAGCATTAAACCTTATAGCTGAAAAAAATAACCAAAAACCAATCTAAGATGATATATATAACCTAAAAGACCACGAATATATTGAAAAAAGCAGAATTTATACTTATTTAGACCTTTTTAAATACAAAAGTTTACGAAATTAGACTTTTGCGTCATGTATAGTTATGTTTAGTGCCTAAATAGTCTATTATTCGACCTAATTTTCTATTTAAAACTTAGGAAATAATATATATATAAACTCTTTAATAATTGGAAGTGGGGAGTTATTTTCTTATTTAATGTGTAATCTTTTTGTTTCTAAATTAAGAAGGAAATTATATACTTTTATTTTTTTTCTAATTATAATTTGTTTGTCAATTCTCCTTTACTTCTTTGATAAAAAAAGTCCCTTTGCTATTATTTTTGCATTATTAATAAGAATATTTAACTGCCTTATTATGGGGATCTCAGCTGTTTTTATAGAAGAACTTTATCCTACAACAGTAAGATCACTAGGAGTTGGTTTATAAATGTCTATAGGAGTCGCAGGGTCTTCATTGGCACCTTATATAGTAAATTTAGCTGAAAAGTGGGGATTTTAAGCTTTATTTTTTACAGGAGTTATAAATATACCAACTATATTTATAATAGCGCTTTTTAGAGAAACAAAAGGAGAAAAACTACATAATGATATATTAGAGTTAATTGAAGAAAGCAAAGAAGAAAATTAAACTTAATATAATTTAAAGAGCAATTGAAATCATATTATAATAATTAATTTATATTACTTTTATAATGTATATATATATAAATATATAAATATATATAAAAATATATATATGTATATGTATATATATATATATTTCTTTCAATCTATATCTTCTAGATCTATATTAGATATATTTTCTCTTTTTTTTCTTATTTAATTTCTTCTTTTTTATGAACTTTCTATATTTTCTATATTTAATTTTTATCTTAATTTTTCTATACAAAATTTTCTTTTTTGATATTTCTGAATTTTTAAACTTCTATATAAGTCCACATTTTTCTAATATTTTCAACTGAAAACGGCTAAAAAGTAAAACCAAAATTATTCTTAACAGTAGCCTAATTCGCTATTCTATTAAATTTTAAAGTTGCTTTATCAAAATCGAACATATATTTGACTAAAAGATTCTCTAAAAGTTCATCAAATTCTGATATCCATACTTTTTTTAAAGCTTCAATATCCATTTATTGATCATCGGGATAAAAGAGCATTTTGTTTTCTTTGTCTTTCTCTTGTTTTTCTTTATCTTTAAGACTAAAAGTTTTCCATTAAGTGGAATAATCAATAAATTGAGTTTTTAATTTTTCCATTTCATCTTCTTTTTCTTCCTCTTATATTTTTTATTCTAATTTAATTTATTTTTCTTCTTCTTCATCATCATATTATTTTAATCTTTCCAGTCTTTTTTCTTCATCCAATTCATCTTTAGTTTTAGTTTTTTAGACATTAGGGTTAGTTATGTATTTATTTTTTATAATTTCCTTTTCTTATTCAGTTTTATTAAAAATAATTATTTCACCATCTTCCTAACTCTTCATAGTACTAAAATAAACATAAGGCTTATGTTCATTTACGTTTATCTTATCAAAATTATTCATTAAATCTTCAATTTTTGCTAATTCATTATCAATATCACCTTCAAGTAATTTAATATATTCTAAAGGCTTATTATCTTAATAACATTTTTCTATGGATTGTCTTATTTTTTATATTTCTTTCTCGCTTTCTTCTTTTGCCTTTAAAATTATTTCGGTTCTTTTTTCTTTTATTTCTTTTTACATTTAAAGTATTTCTTAAAAATTTCTTTCATTTTTCTAATCTCTTTCTTTCAATATGTTTCTTCTTTCAGTCATTTCCCCATCTTTTCCTTCCCTAACCCAAGCTTCACACAATCTTCTTTCATCAATAAATACGGGTCTATCATCTAAATATTTCAACTAACACATATTGCCAACTAATCTTTTTCTATAATTTTTAAATTCTCTGACACAAGGATTATTTTTTAAATATAAACATAATAAATTCCTCATTTTAATAAATAAATCATCTATTTAAAAATATATATATATATATATAATAATAAAATATATATATTTATATATATATATATATTTATATATTTTTTATTACCTATAATTTTATCATCGCATATAATTTAATTATGAGAAAGATCAATATTTGTTAAAGTAAGACAATCTAAAAGTCCTTTCAAATCATCATAAGTTTAACAAATATTATATGAAATATTTATATTTTATAGGTTTTTCAAGCCACCAAGATTCTCTATTTTTTATATTTGATTATTTGATAAATTTATTATTTATAAATTTTAAAGATATTCTAAATTTTCGATTTTTGATATATGATTATTATTTAAAAATAATGATACTAATTTTTATTGATTTTATAAATTTATTATTTTTGATATTCCATTATTATTTAACCATATTGCCTTCAAATTATTATATTCTTCTAAATTCTCAATTTTGTAAAAACCTTTGTGGTTAAGATATATTTTTTCGTTTAGATCTGGATGTTCATATAACTCGTTATTCTCGCATATTATTTTTAGGTTTTTTTTACTCATTATTGTGTTTCCTTAAGCATCTTTTTCAAGTTCTCTTTTATTTTTTTACATTTTTTTTTTAAATAATTTTAAAATTATATATAATATATATTTATTTTTATAAAATAATTTTGATAGTATTTTTTTAAAAATTTTTATTGTTTAATAATTAATAACATTTATTAAAAAAAAAAAAAAATTAATTAAATACCTAGTTAAAATCAAAATTTAATATAGATATAAACACAACAATAGTATTTATTATTTATAAGTTTATTGGAATCTAAAATATATTAAACAAAACAAAAAATATACTTTAAATATTACATAAATTATATAAGCTATCTATAAATATAAAATCTTTTAATAAAATTAATAAAATAAAATATTATTTATTTATTATAAAAAAAATACGCATAAATATACTAATTATATACATATTATAATTTAAAAATAATAAACATTAATATATAGACGCAAATAAAAATAAAAAAGCAAAAAAAAAATATATAAAAATATGGGAAAAAAAGATCACCGATCTCCTTCCCCAAGATCATCCCAAAGACAATCTTAAAAAAATAGAAGCCGTTCTCGTTCTCGAGAAAAAAAGTATTAAACAACAAATACAAATTCGTCATATTCCCGTACTCAACATTCCTAATCTCGTCGTCCTACAAACCAGCATTCAATAACAACTGGTCCTACCCTATTTATGGGTTCCGTAGGTGCTACATTAACAAAAAAGACCCCTATGCCTCCCAAAAAGTATCAATCAGAAACCCCTTATTACAAACAAAATGCTGAAAAGACAATATTTAACCCCAAAGACGAATACTCATAATTAGAATGGGAAGAAATATAAAACAAAGCAGATCGTTACTGGTACGACCAAGATGAAAACGGCAATTAAATTGACGAACCAGAAGAAGATATATTTATAGGAGACCAAAACAAATTCCGACTAATGGAATAATAAATGGACATAGTAAACCAAAGACGTCAAAACGCAAAATAAAACGACAAAAACATCGAAAATGATAAATGGGATTTCAATCGACTAGTAGCTTCTGGAATTTTTAAAACAAAAGAAGTTTCATTTGATTTTGATGAAGATAGTCAAAACAGAGTCACAGTTCTCGTTCATGACATAAAGCCTCCATTTTTAGATGGGAAAAATATTTATACGAAATAACTTGAAGGAATATCCATTGTAAAGGACGAAAACTCATAAATGGCCATAATAGCGAAAAAAGGCTCTGGTGTATTAAAAGCTTAAAGGGAAAAAACAGACCGAAACAGAAACAGACAAAGATTTTGGGAGTTAGCCGGTTCTAGAATAGGTAATTTAATCGGCATAAAGAAATAAAGTGAAGACTAAAATACTAATAATTAATAAGAAGAATTAAATGAAGAAGGTGACTTAGACTATAAAAAATCATCTTAGTATGCTCAAGCCTTACAAAACGAGATTAAAACAGGAGGCTCAAGTGAGTTTTCGAGAACAAAAACAATAAAATAACAAAGAGAATTTCTTCCTGTTTATTCTGTGAGAGAGGAATTATTAAAAATCATCTAAGAAAATCGAGTTATAATAATTGTGGGAGAAACCGGTTCTGGAAAAACTACTTAACTAACTTAGTATTTATATGAAGCCGGATATTCTAAATATGGCATCATTGGCTGTACTTAACCCAGAAGAGTAGCGGCAGTTTCCGTCGCGAATAGAGTTGCACATGAATTCGGTTGTTAATTAGGTAAATAGGTTGGTTATTCAATTAGATTCGAGGACAACACATCCAAATAAACTATTATTAAATACATGACGGATGGTGTTTTATTAAGAGAAAGCTTAAATGATGCTGATTTGGAAATTTATTCTTGTTTAGTTATGGATGAAGCTCATGAAAGGTCCCTTAATACTGATGTTTTGTTCGGTATTTTGAAAAAAGTGGCATAAAGAAGACGAGACATTAAAATAATAATCACATCTGCGACAATGAATGCTGATAAGTTCAGTAGTTTTTTTGGCGAAGCCCCCATTTTTAACATTCCAGGGAGGACATTTCCCGTAAGCATAAGATTCGAGAAAAACGCAGTAGAAGACTACGTAGATAAAGCCGTTAAAAAAGCCTTATAAGTTCACATATAAGAACCTCCTGGAGACATACTAATATTTATGACAGGTCAAGAAGATATAGAAACCTCTTGTCTATTATTAGCCGAGAGAATCGAGAAAATGGAAACTATTCCTTCTTTAGATATATTACCAATTTATTCATAATTAAGAACTGATGATCAGGCAAAAATATTCTATAAATCCGAAAAAAGGAAATGCATAATAGCCACTAATATAGCCGAAACATCTTTAACACTAGATGGTGTCAAATACGTTATTGATACTGGATATTGTAAACTAAAAGTCTATAATCCAAAAGTAGGTATGGATGCATTATAAATAACTCCTATTTCCTAAGCTAACGCAAACTAAAGATCAGGTCGAGCAGGTAGGACTGGCCCTGGAATATGCTATAGATTATATTCAGATTCAAATTTTAGAAGCGATATGTTAGAAAACAGTGTTCCTGAAATTTAAAGAACAAACTTAAGTAATGTAGTCTTACTCTTAAAATCTCTTAATATAGATAATTTATTAGAATTCGATTTCATGGACCCCCCTCCTTAAGAAACTATACTAAACTCCATGTATTAACTATGGCTTCTCGGTTGTTTAGACGAACTAGGATAAATAACCGCTTTAGGTAGAAAAATGGCCTAATTTCCTCTAGATCCTCCATTAACTAAAATGATTATTTCCGCTGATGAACTAGGTTGTATGGAAGAAATCCTCACTATAGTAAGTATGTTGAGTGTCCCTTCAATTTTCTATAGACCAAAAGGACGAGAAGAAGAAAGCGACGCTGCTAGAGATAAACTTTTGATTCCTGAAAGTGATCATTTAACATATTTAAATGTATTTGAATAATGGAAGAAAAATGAGTATTCTGCTTAGTGGTGTAACGAACATTTTATTCAGGTAAAAACTTTAAGAAAAGTACGCGAGGTACGTTCTTAATTAAAAGATATAGCCAAATAGTAAAACCTTAGGATGTCTACTTGTGAGTATAATTATGACATTGTTAGAAAAGCTATTTGTTCGGCTTATTTCACTAATGCGGCTAAAATTAAGTCTATAGGAGAATATACTAATCTTAGAACTGCTATGCCTTGCCGAGTTCATCCTTCTAGCGCTCTTTTTACACTTGGACATGCCCCTGATTTTGTTGTGTATCATGAACTTATTATGACCACAAAAGAATATATGAATTGTGTTACAATAGTAGATCCTAATTGGTTAGCCGAACTTGGACCAATGTTTTTTAGTGTAAAAGAATATTATGGAAATAGAAGAGATAGAAATGAATTGGAAAGCTAGTGTAATAATTTACTTGAATAGTAAATTGAAGAGGCTAAAACTAAATAAACTGAATTAAGATTATAAAAATAATAAGAAGATGAATTCGAAAATATGCAAAGAAGAATGAAGTCAGAAAGAATTGTTGAGCCTGGTAAAAAATTTATGACTCCTTTACCTTATAAAAGAAAATGAGTTTTATTTTATTTTTATATATATATTTAAACTTATTGTTTTTTATATATTTTTTGTATATTTTGTTTATATTAAAATATATGTATTTTAATTTGTTATTCTTTTTTACTATTAAATTTTTTTTCTTATTTTTTTTAAACTTTTAATATTTTCTTTATTATTTTAAAAAAAAATTATATTTTATATTTTTATTTTTTTTTAAAAAAAATATATATGAACAATATAAAAATAAATTCTTAATTATTAGTTTAAAATTATAAAAAGTGATAAAATTTATTTTTATTAGAGGAAAAATAATTTATTTCCAAAAGAAATTATTTTATTTTAGAAAATTCTAAATGAAATTATCTTTATTATAAAAATTAAGTTTTTATTTATTTTCAAAGTTAAAATTTATACAAATATCTATAAAATGACTTAATTGAAAATAAAAAACTGAAACTATTATTTACTATTATATAAAATCTTTAAAATAAATTTTTAATTTGAATTTATTTATGGAGATATAATATTAACTAATCTATTTTTAAAATTATCTAACATTTTTTTATTTAATTAATATAAATTAATTTTTCTATAAAAATAAATCTCCTAATAAATAATTAAAATTTTTTATTTTTTACAAATAATTATATACAAAGTTTTTAAAACAAAATTGAATCAAAAATTCAAAATATATAATATTAATTTCATATTATAATAAAGTATGTAATCAGCATTAATATTATATCACTTTCCATAATTCATAATACCCTATTTAAATATATTATTACGTGTTATAAATATTTTAACGTTAGTTACCTATATATAAAAAGTCAATATTTTAAATTATTTTTTTATAAAAAAAAAAAATGATTATAGAAAACATAAAATTTAATACAAAATAATAAATATTTTATGGAGAGAAAAAATCACAAATATAAATAAATAAATAAACAATTGACATAAATAATAATATATATTATTACTTTATATTTACAATTTTTATAAAAACAAAAAGCTAAGAAAAAAATAAAATAAAAATAATATAATATAAATAAAAAATGTCCTAATATCTACCTTGTGATAAATTCTTAATTAAAAAATTACTATCATAAGGTTCTTTTGGATTTGTATATTTAGCATATAGTCATATCCAACATCAAACCGTAGCAATAAAAATAGATAAATAACCACGTTAATATCATAAATAATCAAATTTAGAAAACGAAATAAAAGTTTTATTAGTATTACAAGGTTTACAAGGAATACCTGTAATATTAGATTTTGATACCGAAATTAATGAGTATCCTTATTTTACAATGCCAATGTTAGGTAAAGATTTAAGTTATATATTAAAAAAATGCGGCGGAAGATTTTCCTGCAAAACAGTATTAATGGTTGCCTTATAATTGATATCTATTTTAGAGCAAATTCATTAAAAAGGTTATTTACATAGAGATTTGAAACCCGAAAATATATTATTAGGTACAGGAATAAATAGAAATAAGATATTTTTAGTTGATTTTGGTACTTCTAAATAATATAAATATGCAAAAACAGAAACAAATGCATTAACCCATATTCCATTTAAAGGTAATTTTTTAAAAAAAAAATCATATAATTATTTTTATTGTTTAAAAAAACTATATTTAATTAAAAAAAATAAAAATAGAATGTTATTAATTTATCGGAACATATAGATATGCAGCAATAGCCCCTCATTTTGGCTTAGAATAGGGAAGAAAAGACGATTTATAAAGTTTGGGTTATGTATTAATATATTTAATAAACGGATATTTGCCTTGGCAGAATATAAAATGTGGAATTGATGAATAATAAATAAAAATAGGAAGCATAAAAAAAAATTTTGATATAAATGAATTATGTTATGGACTTCCTAGTTTTTTTAAATGGTATTTTTAATATGTTAATTAGCTTTAATTTGATGAAGAACCGAACTATTAGCTTATAATGTAAAGTATAAATGATTGTTTATTACAAGAACTAAACTAAAACAATGATTTTGTATTTGATTGGTCTTCTTTTTCAGTAAATCAGTCATACATTTGTATATCTCACTAAGATGAAATTTCTATAAACTCGAATTATTCAAAATAAATAAAAGCTTTAAAATCCGAATCTTAATTAAAATAATATATTAAATCTAAATCTACGGGAGTTTCAAATAATTAAAATTAATTATGTGAAGAAGATTAAGAAGAAAATTGTAAAAATAAAATTAATTATTTTATTTTATTTTATTTTTTTTAAAAAAATATTTTTTAGTTAGTTAATAAGTTCATTGCGAATTTTTAAATTTAAAAAATGAAATTATTTCAAATTTTGGATATTATAATTATAAAAAATAAATTCCATTATTATTTACTAATGAAAGTAATTTAAATAAAATTAAGTTCAAATAACCTTAAAATATTAAAAAAAATATCAAAAATGAAATTATTAAATTGAATAATGATTCTTCCTTTAATGAATATAAAAACAAAAATAATATCAAAAAAAATCAAATTATTTGCTATAATTAACCTATTCTAGAAGATGAATATGATAATAATAATAAATAAAATGAACAATCATAAGAATTTCCGAATAAATCTAATTCTAATCATAATAAAAAGAATATAATTTAATTTACTGAACCTATTAAAGAAGATGAATAAACAATAAAAACAGGTTTATTTAATATTTTTTAAAAACTTTATTAATAAAAATTAAAGAAAAGCTAAGTATTAATAATGAAAACTCAAGTTAAGTTGATATAAATTATAAAATAGAGTCACATTTATTTACAATGAAAACATAGAAGTAAACAATTTAAATATTTTTTATTTTATTTTAATTAAAAAAAAAAAAATTAGATTATTTAAATGAAATGTATAAATATTTTTAATTATATATATTTTCATTCATATAATTTTTTTTATAAAATAAAAAAATAAATATTGAAAGGCCATAAAAAATAAAAAAAAGGCATTATATTTTATATTTTAATTTATTGTATAAAAAAATTTAAACATTTTTAAATTTAAATTTTATATGTAAAATTAAAAAAAAAATATGTATAAAAATAATTAAATAATTATAAAAAAATATAAAAAAAAAAATTGTAAAAATATATAAATATATAAATATATAAATATATATTTATATATATGTTTAAATATATATATTATTTTTAAAAATTATTTACCTATATTTTTATATTAATTTATATTCATATTTAAAAGCATTTATTTTTAAAATATTAAAAATATATATAATTTTGGCAAATTGGACATTATTCTTTTTAAAAATAATTCTAAAAACATTCCTAATGAAATTTATGATTACATGCAAAAAAAAGAATAATTTTTTATTTTTTTTGATTTAAAAAATCTTAACAAATACTACATAATTCTTTTTTAAAATTGACTTTTAAACCTTTAAAAGTTTCTAAATTTTATTCATTTTTTGATAAAAATATATCTTATTTAAAAATTTTGCTTAATATATTTTTTTTATTTCGAATTTCTTTTATATTATCAAATTCTAAACTTTATTAATAAATAAACTTTTAGTCTTTTATAAAATTCTATTTTATTTTTTTTTATATTTGTATATTTTTTTGTTCTATATTTTTTATTTATTTATTTTTATTTTTTTAAATTATTCTTTCTTCATTTTTTATTTTCGATTTTTTCGTTTTTTTTTCGTTTTTCACATAAATATTTTCTAAGTTTAAACAAGAAATTAAAAATATTCCATTATTTTTTTCAAAAAGAATAATTTTTTCTTCAATTTTAATTAATTTATCAAAGCAAAATTACTTTTTTTCAATTAAAAATAAAACTTCGAATAATTTTTATCCAAAATTTAACCAAATAATATATAGATTATCTTCATTCTCACATAAAAAATAAAAAAATCTTATTTTTCTACCAAAACATCAATAATATATAGATCTTTCTCTATATTAAAAATAAAAAATTCTTCAATTAAAAAAAATTCATTTTTAAAAAACTCAATAATTTTTCCATTTTATAAAACTTTCATTTTTTAAAAGACTTTCTATTCCTTCCACCATTCTTACTAAAAATAATTTAAAAAAAATTCATTTTCTAATACAAGAATAAGTTAATTTTATATAAAAATCATATCTTCGACTTTATTTTATAATTCTAAAATCATAATTTCGTCAGTTTCTAAATAACCTTTATTTATTTGGTATAATTTTTATTCATTTGTAACCACATATATTTATATAATATGAAATTCTTCATCAAGCAGTTATGAGCATATTCCTTAATTTATTTGTACATTCTTTTTTTCCAATTTATATGTAAATATAATATCAATTTAGTTTTCGTATATTTTTAAAAAATATATCAAATCTTTTTTATATTTAAATTATTATTTATTTAATGTTTACCTTGTGTAAAATATATGAATGTATTTTCATTTATTATTTATATTTTTAATGAACTTTTTTCATTTATAAACTCTTTTTATGATATTATTTCATAATTTTACATATTTATTAATAATATTTTTGCCTATTTGTAAAGAATTACCTATTTTTTATATTAAAACTTTTAATTTTTTATTTTATACATAAATTAATCCTTTTAACTATTCGATTTATATTATATTTTCAAATATCACGAAATTTTAAGAAAGATCAATTAAAAATTGTTTTTTTTAATTTTAGTAACATTCTATAATTTAATTTATTTCTTTTTCTAATAAATATTCACTCATTTTTTTATTTTTAATAAAATAAAATATTTTACTAAAAAAAAAAATATAGATATATTAAAATAAAAATACAAAATATATTTTAAAATTTTAATCATTTTCTATAAAAAAATATAAATAATATAAAAGTAATTAATTATAAAATAAATAAAAATAAAGAAAATAAAAAAACAGTAAGATATAAACTATTTTTAACAATAATAACTAATAATTTTAATGAAAAAATAATTCAAAAACACTAATATAATATATTTATTTTATCAACTAGTATCATTCTAGTTCTTTACTAATTAAAATCTTCATTTAAGTTATATTTTTATTTGTTTTTATACCATTCAGGAACTAATTAATTATATAATTAAGATTATGTACTTACTTCCTCTAAACAAAAAATAATAAAAATGATAATAATAATAAAAAAAAAAATTAAAACCAGTTTTAAAATTAAACAAATCAGGCATTCCAGTATTACTCTAATAAAATTTTTACTATCTTAACTCATTAAAATATGGGTGTAAAAGAGCTTCAAGAGGTGTAGGCCTTTCATTTGGGACATAAACAAGTATTCTACTTATTAAATCAATAAGTAATGGATCAGGTTTTTATTTAGCAAATATCTTTAGTTTTTTTTTTTTTATATTATTTTAATTATATTTTTATATATATAAAAAAAATATACTTTTGACCAATTACTTGGTTTTATTTAAGCAAAATTAAATTAATTATGTTAAGGGTTCATTTTAAGTACTTATTCTTTAGAAGGTGTACCTAGAATTTTAATAATTTCAACTAATTATTCTACTGCATTTTGACCTGGAAAAAGTGGTTCACATAGTATTAATTCAGCAATAACAGTTCCTTTTTTAAATATAGAATAAATAAATAAAACTATTAAAAATTTAAATAATTTTACCTATAGACCACACATCAATTTAAGTATTATATTATTCGGCTCCAAAAATAAGCTCTGGTGCTCTATAATATCTAGAACAAATATAAGCAATATTCGGTTCTCCTTTAACAAGTTTTTTTGCAGATCCAAAATCACAAATTTTAAGTAAATAATTAGATGAATCAGTTAAAATGTTTTAAGGTTTAATATCTCTATGACTAATTCCGATTCCCTTTAAATAAGCCAAAGCTCTAAACATTTAATAAGAAAACACTTTTAGTAATAAAGGAGGAAATTATTATTTGCTTTTTCTATAATATCTTATTATGTTTGAAAGAGTTTCAGGTATATATTCCATTACTAAGTTTAAATAAACTTCGTCTTCCTTTTTTTTATAAGTACACATTATTATTATTTTAGCATATTTTTTTATTTTACATTATTTCCATGTGTATAATATGCTTATTTTAATCTTACTATGTTTTAATGATTTAATGTTTTTATTATTTCGAATTCTCTGTTTTTATATCTTTTATCTTAAAAAACTTTTTTTATGGCTACTTTCTCATTAGTATCATTTAACGTGGCCTTTTTTTTGTTTTTGTTTTTGTTTTTTTCTTTTTTTTATTTGCTTTTTGTTTTTTTTTACCAAATATACTACACCAAATGTACCATTTCCTATGATTTTATCAAATGTAATTTAAGGTGTTTTATTTTATTATTGTTAATCCTTTTAATTAAATAATAATGATATTTGATTTCTTTTAATTTTTTATTTGTTTTTGTTTGTTTTATATATATATATAATAATAATTAGTAATTTTTTTATTTAAAAACATAAAATAAATACTTTAAAATAAAAATAATTACTTGATCAATATTTTAATTTTGGTTTTAATTTACTTACGATTATTATTATATTATATTTGCTTTCATTTTTATTAAATTTTTTGTAATTTTTATTAAAATTAATTACTTTATTTTAATATTTATTTAAAAAAAAATATAGTGATAATTTTTTTTTTTATTTAATAAAATAATTTTATTTATTTCTTTATTTAATAAAATAATTAAAATTAAAAGTCTCTAAAGCAAAAAATTTTAACTTTAAAACAAAAAATAAAAAAATAATATTTACTTATTAAGTTTATCTTTTTTATTGATAAAATAATTATTTAATACATATTATTTTAAAATATAATTTTTTAATATAAATGTGTTTAAGATATATTTTTAAAATGTTAAAAATAATGAATAATATATATATAAACTCTTAAAACAAAATACAAATATAATAAAAAAAATATTAAATCATTTTATATATTTTTATACTAATCCTTATTTTTTTAATATATAATTCAAATAACCTTTATTTAAAAAATGAATACCTACTAAACAAAATATGGGAGCTGAACCCATAAAAATGAAAAGCTATTTATCATTTTATTTAATTTTTTTTCCAAATTTATTAGTGTAGAGAAACACAGTAAGCCCCAACAAAAATGTAAAGGTTGTATTTATTTACAATTTTTATCCTTATTTGATTTTTTTGTTAATGAATAAATAATCTTCTTAATTAATATAAGGATGATAGAGTATCTTTAATGGCAATTTAAATTTATTATTATTTTTTATATTTTATTCATATGCTTACACATATATATTTTCAGCTAAAAAATTGTCAATTTCAAATTTAGAAAACCTTGAATCCACTTCTTAATATTTAACTTTTACATATTATTCTAAAATTTTTTTAAAATATTGATTTTCCCAAGGCTTCACTTAATTAAATTATTTTTTTAAATCACTATACTTGTCAAACTCTTATTAATAGTTTTTTATGTTTTCTTTTTCTATTAAATATTATTAAAGATTTAAATTGTCAAACATTTATTCATTAATCTCTAGGGGACGACTG